CATGTAGTCAATCTGTTCGTAATTAATTTGTTAAAATTCTTTGGTGATAATATCTACTACGTTTAACTATTTCACAATAGAATATTATTACGTGTTTGACGATTGACCTTCTGAGTATGAATGTTTACAATGAATTTTCAATTTAATTTAATTGAATGCATTTTTTACACATATAATATATAATAAATTTTAGCTTGCTGCTCTTCTTCTTCATATATAAACTTTGAGTATGCCAAATCTCACATTCTTCTGTGCGCTCAATATTCTTAAAAAAGGGTACAAAGTTTTCTCTTCGCGTAATAATTTATAGATTTTTTCGTAATAGTTATTATCAATGCCAATTCTAGCAGCGTTAAAGAATTCATGGCCCCAATTTAGAAAACAATAATAGTAATAATAAAAATAGAATAATAATAATTGACGGCTCCGTGGCGCAGTGGGTTAGCAATCAATTGTTGCGCTGGGGGCCGCGGGTTCGAATCCCGCACGGAACAAGTATTTGTATGGCCTACAAATAATTGGGTCTGGATATTTGTCCTTGTGCAATTTATGTTTGTAAACTGCCTCCACGACACAGGAGAAGATCCTAGTGTGGGGGTAACGTTTTTAAAAAAAGATAGTATCGTGGCCTCCTTTAACCACTTTCTATAATATTCCTGGTCCATTATTACCACCCAAACCGACAGCTGCTGCCAAGCGTCTCGTTTACAGCAAGTCTCCTACAGCAAAAATAAAACCATATTTAGTGGACTTATGATGAAGTAGACGAATTACAAACAAAATAAAAACAGACTATGCATAGCAATTATTAGTTAATAATTATGTTTAAAATAAATAAATAAAATGGTAGAGGTTTGCAGTTGTGCGCGCATCATGGATTTCACTTAGGATTCAGGACAGATTTGTATTAGGTTCTCCAAGTTTTATTTCTTAGACAATTGGCCCTTATATAAAAAAATATTGGGAGATCTTCATATAATATTAATTTATTAAAGTTTTAAGAAACAATGATTTTGTAAGAAAGGTTTGCTTGCGGTCTTTCTGATGTTTTTTCCTTCGCACATACGAAATCTTTGTTAATATATCAACCAACGCAGGCGAAGTTGCCGTTATCAGCTAGTTAACTAATACAGATAGTAATATCATAATTTTTTTTATAGGATAAGGGTGACAAACGAGCACACAGTCCACCTGATGGTAAGTGGTTGCTGCGTCCCATAGACATCTACATCTATCCTCGTTTGCGAATCAAAATGCAGATGCGTTGTCACCCGTGTGGACTAAGATGGAATGTCTCATTTCCAGTAAAAAGGGCCTGCGGCCACCTGCACTCACCAAACAAAACGCAGAGGTAAACATCTACTTCACGCTGGTATTCTGTGAGGTCGTGGTACCACCCCTGTTCGAGCCGGCCCAACCGTACGACAGCAAACGCTGCCGCGTGGCTCTACCACTGTTAAATTATAGAATAATATTATCTTATAGAGACTGTTTAGTGGGTGGTAAACTAACATTAATTTGCTCATATTTCTTTGAATCATATGATATCTATGATCATATACAATATAATAGCGTAATAATAGCAGTCTTACTTTCGACTCGGGCGGATATTTCATTGTTTAAAAGTTGGCTGCATTGTCCTACTCAATGAATAAACTAAAATCATAGTTACTATAAAATCATTTACATTATATTTAGACTACGCATCGGTTGAATTAATTTAATTTAAAACTAACATTAAAATCGTTAATATAATATTAAAATGAACAACAAAAATAATATAGAAGAAACAATAAGAATATTATTGTTTATTTTAATATTAAAAAAAACAAGTACGGAGGTAAATTCGAATTAATAGATAATTTGACATTTGCATTCTTATTTACTTCATATTCAGATTCTAGTTTCATTCCAGTACAAAGATATCCACTCCAATATGTCAATAGCATAACTAACTTTAAGAAGATAATATCTTGGCGGCGTTTAGTCTATACCTATGTATCCTTCTGTTTCCTTCTGTTTTCTTTCTTGATTTTGATACTACAGCAAATAATATGACAAAAAGCCTATATATCCAACATTGCAATGTTCCTATGTTTTATATTTTATTTTAATCTGAAATAAAATAAAAGCATAAAGACCAAGCCGCGATCCTACTTCTCTTGCGAAGGGTTCCTAAAAAAAATAAAATGGTCTAGATTTGGAGGAGGAAAAGGGTTAATAAGGTGTGACAATTTCGTAATTTTTAAAATTTCTAGCAGTCTGGATATTCTCTTAACAGGTTCCAAATTTAGGTGGAAAACTTTTGAGATGAAAAAAAAATTTGGAATTCAACTTTATTTTATAGTACATATTCAATTTGATTTTCATATAAGATGGTGATGCGTATTAGTACATGCTGTTTCTTCTTTTGTCGTTTACGGCCCAATAAAATATTTGGTGTGTCAAAATGTCGATAAAAAGGTCCCTTAAAGCTCTAACTTAGTTTTTAGGTTTTAGTTCCAATGCTAACACTAGATTTTCATTAATTTTATGGAAGCCAATATTATGTTTTTTGTATAATATTTTATTTTATATTTTATTTTTAGCACTTGTCTCATCTACTCCATGCATTCTTTAGCGGAAGCTAAATTTCAAACTTGTTGCCGTATAATATTACCACGACCACTTTCCTCCCGCCACAACAGCCATGTGTTAAACGTCCAGTTTGCATAAAGCACAAGTTACTCGTAAAAGATTTGAATGCGTTACCTTTTACATTTGAATGAATAATATTATGTCATAAGAAGTAAGTATCAAGGATATGCAGAAAACAAACATTTTCGAAATTAGTTAGTGCGTAGTGGCGATAGGTGCGTCCTTTTTAGCATTAATACATTTGAAATTAAAAAAAAACATGGGATATAAGTAAGTTATATTTTTTATATCTATCTATCAAAATTATTCCGATATTTTAATATTTAATTGATATTTTTTAATTTAAATATAAGGAAGTGGTGTACTATGCCACCTAGTGATATGTGGTGATGTGGCCGAAATAGTAAAACGTAAGGACTTAGTTTAAAATAAAGTGCGTATTTCAATCCAGAATCACCCGCAGCAATATCTTGAAAATTATTATTTCAATTCAAATTTCAAATTTCAGTAAATAATTAGTATCAGTTATATACTGAGTTTAAAACATATGAAAGGAAGGTTCTATAAAATGGAACGGAACACTTACGTCTTTCTTTGTGGATTATTTGCTAAACAAATGAATAAAAGGCGTTAACTTAGAATAAGGTTATCAAATAAGCACTCAGTCCACTTGATGCTAAGTGAATGCTGTCGCTCATAGATTCTCGATTAAGAATCAAACTGTAGATGCGTTGTCACCCCTGATTAGCTCAGTCCAAGTTAGAAATGCTTTGTGATTTTTTTTAAAGCGTTAGTAACTAAATGGCGGACTGCGAAATCGATAGGTCGTGGGTTCGAATCTGCCATTCGACTACTGTCGTGAACTACTCACACAAGAATTTTAATCTTACCAGAAGTGGTTTAAGGGAATATTAGTAACGTTTAACAGCAGTACTAGTATTTTTAGGGTTCCGTACCTCAAAGCGAAAAAACGGAACCCTTATAGGATCACTTCCTTGTCCGTCTGTCTGTCTGTTTGTCTGTCTGTCAAGACCCTTTTTCTCAGGAACGCGTGGAGGTATCAAGCTGAAATTCATATCAAATACTCAAGTCTACTGTCCCTTAGAGCTGTAAAAAAAATCAAAACAAACTTCTAAGCTAACGCAATCAAAAGATACAGCCGTTTATCCCGTAAATTTTCGACATTCGCAAGGGAATCCAAACCTACAGAGTACTTCCCGTGAACTCAGAATCTTGAAATTTGGTACGAAGCGACGTTTTATAGCACAGATAAAGGAAAAATTGCGAAAAGCATAAATTTTTAGTTACATTATAAAATAAAAATATTTTTAATAATTTTAAACTTATATACCTACAGATTTGTTCGGAACCCTCGGTGCGCGAGTCCGACTCGCACTTTGCCAGTTTTTTTTTTAATTTGAAAACGTTTCCGGTCTTCTACTCTCATCATACAAAACCCAAAAACATTAAACCGTTTTTTTTTCTAATTAAAATGATCTGATGATTTAAGAATTTGCTGATGATACTTCATTGATTTTCCGATTTTAACGGCAATTATTAAAATATGACGATGTGAATTATACTATATCAAAGGTATGATAGTGGTTTAACGTTAACAATTTGCTTTTAAACCGTAATAAAACTATATGTATTAAATTTAAAACACTAAATGTAAAACTGGTGAATACCAATTTGCTTGTATATGGGGAGGAGCTGAGTTTTTTTGAATCCACTGTTTTTCTCGGAATTACATTTGGCGCGAAGCTTCAAAGGGGACCTTATATATCTAAACTAGCTAGCAAACTTAGTTCTGCAGCATATGCTGTAAAAAAGATTAGATGCCTTATATGTCTTGAAACAGATAGATTAGTTCACTTTAGTAATTTCCATGGCATAATGTCATATGGAATCTTGCTATAGGGTAATGCGACTACTGACATTGAAACTATATTTGTTTCCGAAGTAATTCCTTACAGAAATAATTTAAAAATTAAATATAGTAACTTTTACTTTTCACTTATATTTACGAAAATTTGTTCACAAAAACAAAAATAGTTTAATTAAAAACAGAACTGGGTTTCTTACTGGTTCTTTCCAGTACAGAGGTTTCTTAAGAATACCTGAGAGGGTAATGATTGAGGAATTATTGTGAAGCTTAGAAGTTTTCACTGCTACGACTGACAGTTTTTTTTATTATTATAAGTCGTGAATTATGACTCGTCTTATTCGCTGATCGTTAATTCTCAATATGAAAACATAGATCCGGAAATAATTTTACGATTTTTTTTGGTTTTTGAAATTCTTTTAACAACCCCATCACGCAATCAGTTTTTATGAAATTATTTTGTGGATTTCTTTCCAGGTTGATAATTTTATTAGGGTTACTACTGGGAGTTTTGTACTGCATCCATATTCTTGTGCAGGATTACCAGGCAGTCACAGCACCAAGACTTCTACGCCTTCTTTTCAAAAGAGATGTTTCTTCCCACCAGCATGATGTAAGCAATTTGATTCTGTACTTTTTATATTGGAACATTAACTCTTGTTATAGGAAAATAATACTTTAATGAAGCGTGCTAGCTTAGAGAATAACCGCAAAAGCTTTTGCCTGGAAACCCGTGTTTTTTATATATTTCAGAAGTGATAAACGAACTTCAGTGCACCTGATGGTAAGTGGCAACTGCGGACCATGAACACCTGCAGATAACTTTAATCAAAGAAGTTTACAGATGCGTTGTCACTTTTGAGGACGAAAATAGAATGCCTCACAGCCTGTTATTATATCCTTCAGAGAGCAGAGCAAGCTTCTATTTAGCTGCAGAATTAGGTAAGATAGTGGTACCTATCCAGACGGACTCCTAGATAGAAGAGAAGTCCCACATTAAGTCAACAGTTTTAACAGTCCCAGTTTAAATTCTTAAATATAGGTGATTTAAGAATTTAAAAACTATTTTGAGGATATCCCATTTTTTCCATTTATTTGAATATAAACTTATCTATTTTAATTATTTCATTAAAATACAGGTGATAACAGATCACGATATCCAATAAAGATATTAGCTCGTTTTATTCGGTCAATTATTTTCGCGCAGTCGCCGGCCGACTTTTTAGCCTCTGGGTCTTCCCAACGATCAGAATATTTTGCTTGGACAATTTCATATTTTTTTCACCAAACCGACCGATTAATATCAAGTACTAGTCCGACTAAATAGTCAACATCAAAGTTTTAAATTTTGCGCGTAATGTGTTGGCGTTATGCAGATATCAATCACGTGAACTAATTCATTTTCTCTCTCTGCTTGATGTCACCCTCCCCGTCGCGCTGTGTATCGATATCGTTAATTTGACGATCATTTATTACTTTAATCTATTACTAGTAATCAGTACAGTACCTAACTTATATGCATTTGTTTAGATAAGTACATTAAGTAAAATGTAAAAGTCTTGTGAGTAAGTTCTTCCACTAGTCAATTTCCTAGTGTAGTAGTAGTAGTAGGTAGTGGTTACTGTTGTTTTCAATAAATAAAGTGCCATTATACGTGCGACGCAAGGATTTTATCAAGGCTATCAAGGTTTGAGGTATTATAACCGTTTGATTATGCATGAACGTGTGTTTTTATATTGTATGATGCTGTTTTTTGAGGCCTTTTTGAAATGCATGAGTTGTGAGTTCATAAGATTTATTACTATTTTCAGAATTAAATTAAGACGAGAGATTGCTTGTTTGTCCCTTATCCTAGGCTTCCTAGTGACCCCCCCAGGGGGGGGGGGCTTAGCAGCCGTGGCTTGGTCACCCGCGGTGAACAAAGAGGAACTCCTTGGTTGGCCCGTGTTGTAGGGATAGCCCGAGGTGGCCACACCGAGTGGGCTTGGCGAGCTCACTTCGGATGTGTGTCGGTGGGCTGCGGTGAGAGGGGTGTCCTCTCCCCCTACCGCTGTAGCCGAGGTGGAGTCGTGGAGAAAGAGGAGTGTTGGTATGGCGATGCGCCACTCGCCCTATACTCCGCGTCTCTGACGAGGCCGCACCGTTGATGCGGTAGTGATGGGGCCGCGTGGGAAGAGGAGTGTCGGTATTGCGAGGCGCCGCTCTCCCCACCCTCCGCGGCTGAAACTTGGTTGGCGGTGGAGCCAGAGACTAGATCTGCCACTGGGGTCGGGAAAGCGGGTGCTCCTAAGCGCTCGATTTTCTTGGCACCATGGCCTCCGCGTAGTGGACTCGGGGTGGGGGGGGGGGTCCGGGGTTGGTGTACTCGGGTGGAGTTAGAGGCCGTGGAGGGTAGCGTGCCTTGTATTCTTGGTACGCCGTGCCTGAGAAGGAGAATGGGGAGGAGAGGTCCTCCCCCGAGAAGGGACTTCCATGGAGCGGCCGGCGCTGGTGGGGCCGCGGATGTGTGCGAAAGCGTTCCCGTGGCCCTGACAATATGCGGCGAAGGTGGAACACCATGGGGTTTTAGTCGGTGCGAATCCGACATAAGTCGGCCTTGCCCCTGCGAGGAGGGTATGCGTAGGCATTTCCCCGTGTAAAAAAAGCCTTCCTAGTGAGCTTCTTTACGATGCTCTCTTAGTTTGCCTAATTTCTTTGTATATTCAGTTAGAGCAATTGTAGAGATTCAATATCTTACAGAGATTTCATCACTTTAATTTTTTTTGGTCATATTGAAGTGTTTCCTGGTGTTATCTGCAATGTTCTCCCACTTAGAGTAGTGGTTTTGACAGGACAAGTGCCATAGAATTCTTCATGAATTCCTACGGTCGCTCCAGATCTTCAATTGTCTTAATGTTTTTAGGTTAAATTTCCAAATTCCTCCTTGGTTTATATTTATAGACATCCCTGGATGTATCTTTTGCATCCCTTAAAGAAACAGTTACAGAAGTTAGTTACACCCTAAGTTTTAGCTTACCAGGCGATTAGAGATGAGAAAATCTTTTTTTATTGGCTTTATTTGTCAATAAAAATTTATTATTATATTATATTATATATTATATTTATCAGGTAATCATAAAGTAACACATTTCCTTTGTTGACGTCAGTGCCACTCAAAACTATTTTGTCGTTAGAAGTTATAAATAATTAAATATATACTACCTATTAAATAAGATCATTTATATTTAATGCTTGCTATAACATAATTTATTATTTCTTTTTGTTCATAATGCAAGAAATATAACTAAACAATAAAGAGAGAAAATGTTTCTTTATTGTAAAGAAAATTAAAATAATTGTTTACAGAGACCTAACGTTAGATGGAGAAAAATTTTAATGTATGATAGAATACAATGCGCCCGCTTTCTCTATTGTGAACTCGGAACGCGGCCGCTAGACGAAGAAATACGCAGAGGTTTCATATTAATGCTGAGGTAATTATTTTATAACAAGGCTGTATTTTTCTATTTTAAATGTTCTTAAATCAAGAATGTTTTTGTTATACAATTTGTTAGTGAAGGAATAAAATTATAATTTAATGTTAGTTAATATACAAAAGAGCAAACTTATTTATGTTAAACATAACTGCTCTAGACTGCATATGCTCAGTGTTTAGTGCCGTACAACTGGGCAAACAAGTTTTCCCATAACGATATGCGTTGGTACTGTCTCGTACGCAACGCATCAGGGAGGCAACTTTCTTCCGCACTATTGCATCAAAGTTTTCCATGCTAGCCACAGCAAACATACCTGAACCACTGCAATAGCAAGACAGCCCTATCAGCATCCTAAAGCCGTTATTGTACTAAACACGCAGAACATTTACACATATCCGTAAGTATAGTTGAACCACAGCACAGGTTGCAGGTATAAAACGTCCAACAGTACGCCTTAAAAATTTAAAAATAGCTATCTTTTATACATCTTGCAATCCTACGAGACAGCATGTTGCACCTCACTGCCAACGCTCTAAGTTCTAGCTCAATATCTAAGTCAACAGAGAGAGCCTCGGTGGCCCAGTGCCCCAGGTATTTAAAACTGGTGACTCTGCTTAACGGTACTCTTTCAAGCCGTACCAATGTGTACTTTTTTTATAAAACTGTGGTGATAAACGAATTTATAGTCCAACTGATGGTAAGTGGCTACTGCAGCCCATGGATGTTTGCTGCTAGCTTTAAAAAAAGAAGAGCACAGACACGTACTCAACTCTGAGGACTTAGTGAGAATGTCTCACAGCTAGTAATTATACTGGTAAGGTATAGAGACGTTTAGGACTGGTGACACAGGAGTGCAAGCACTACTATTTGGGGGCAGAAACTGGTAAAAGTATGTTACCTACCTAGACGGACTCTCAGGCACAAAAGGAGTCCTACATTATTCACTTTTTTATACATTGTACTTACCCACCTAAGTTGCCTTTAGAGTAAAGTCCATTCTACGAATACTTATGTAAGCATGATTGCATAACTTGAGGATAAAGCACCTTTAGTCCAAAGTTGTCCTTGCAAGTTTAAATTCAAATTATCCAACTTTACGTAAGCTTTACCCATTTATTTATAGTTTCCGTTGAAACTTAATTCTTGTATCTTATTTGTGATAAAAAAACACACCTTAATTCACCGTCACGCTAGATATTCACGTGAAAAATTAAAGAAAAAAATATTTTGTGAAAACATTTTTGACAAAGTTTTAGGTTTCAATTAAAAATACTTGGTTCATATACTAATGCATTAAATTAAGTAAAAAAAAAAGTGTATCCTTATCATTTAAGGACAATTACAAATTAAAGTAAGAAATAGAATCAAAAAGAATACATCATAAAACCAAAGAAAAGATAAAGAGTATTCACTGAAGGGAATCGTAAAAAAATTCCTGAAACGTCGAGTAATTGATTAAAAACTATGTAACATATGTAAATATTTTATAGTGATATATTTTTTAATATTTAATAAAATATTAAAAATTTACACGTATTACAAACACAACGTTTCGGTTTGTTCACAATGAGATTTGAGAGAGAATTCTTATAACGTTATTACAATAAATTTACTGTATTTAATAGAAAATATTTCTTTTATTTCAGCTTAGAGCCACGGGAAGAAGATAGATCGTCCTTAGACATTTTTAAACAAGCATACGAATACGGTCAACATTCTCATGGTGGTGATAATTACTGCAGTAAAAATTATCCAATGTGTCCGTTCCAGAGTTCTTTACTTATTGATCTCATCAAGTATTTGCTACGTCATCATTATGCCATTGAATAATTCTACCTTTTTCTTCTTGACAAATCATTCTTGACAAACCTCCATTAAAGGAGGCCCTTTCATAAATATGCTAAATTAATTTAAATCACAATAAAATATATCATTTAAATAAATTTCTTCAAATTAATTACTTTTTGAGGATAATTTATTTATTTATTTATCCTTTATTGCAACACACCAACTAGGGGTTACAAAGGGCGGACTTAATGCCCTATGGCATTCTCCACCAGTCAACCCGACGAAAAATGGAATAAATAAAGATGTTGGCAGGTGCAAGTTAAGGACAATAATAAAACATAAGTTATAAATAAAAACAGTTTAGCTATAATAAGTAGATTACACAATAAAAAACTACCTAATTGCATTATATAAATACAGTATATATAAACAACACACATATGTAAATACACACACACACACACACACACACATATACACATACATGCATATATACACATATATATATATATATATATATATATATATATATATATATATATATGTAAATTATAAATACACATATTATATATATATATATATATATATAAAACGGGAAAGACAATTAATTGTTGTTTACCTCTAAATAACGTTGTCGCACGAATCTTTTAAATAAAAGCTCATTCGTAACCTTGACATCAGCGAGTAAAGCGTTCTAGAGAAGAATAGCCTGAACTGTGAAGGAAGAATTATAAAATTTTGTTCTGTGTTGTGGAATACTAGCTTTAAGTACGATAGAAGGACGAGATTCACGGACGGAAATAGAGTAGAGAAAGTTGAAGTTTTGTTTAAAATATGGCGGAGAATTAGCATCATTTAAGATGGAAAAAAGTGTCAATAAAATTCTGGAGCAACGCCTTAGACATATAGTGAACCTTTGTTAAGCTTAGAACGATAGGCAGAGATATGGTCGAATTTACGTTAATTAAAAACAAATCTTATACAACTATTGAGAAGGCGCTCCAATTTATTGAGAAGATTTTGCGACAGATCCGGATAGCACACATCAGCATAATCAATAATGGGAAGAATGAGGAAATTAACTAACATAAGCTAAGTTTTGAAGGGTAAGAAATTTTTCAGACAATACAGGGAACGCAAGGCAACAACAACTTTACGGCTTATTTCAGAAATTTGGAAACTCCAGTTCAAAGTTTGATCTAAATGCAAGCCAAGATTAACTATTGATTCATTGAAAGAGATCGATATACTATTGTAAACCACAGGTTCAAGGTCTCTATAGTCAATCCTGGCCAGCATCCTTGAACTACCTACAATCATTGCTTTGCATTTCAACGGATTTACCGAGATACCATGCCTGTACGACCAAACTCGGATAGCATCAAGATCATCGTTCATCAGTCTTATGACGTCATTGATGTGATCTAGATTATACTTTATTATTATTACATTTACTAGATTATACGTTTAGTTGAAGATCATCTGCATACAGATGGTGCGAACACTTGATAACAGAAGATATGGAATTAATGAATAAAGAAAACAGTATAAGAGAAAGTATGCCGCCTTGCGGCACACCAGTTTCGATGTCAGCCCAGCCAGAAAACTGTTCTCCAAGGCGGACGGACTGTTGGCGGCCGCGAAGATAGGATGAGATCCACTCCAAGGCTGAGGATGAAAATCTGAGATGAGTCAGAATGGAGAGGAGGATGTCGTGATCAACTGTGTTGAAAGCATTTGAAAAGTCAACAAGCACCAGCACTGTAACTTTATATTCATCCATACCTCGTCTTATGTCATCAGTGACCTTAATAAGTGCAGTGGTGGTACAGTAACAAGACCGAAACCCAGATTGAAAAACATTCAGTAGGTTATGTTATTTTATGAAACAAGAGATTTGCTTATGCACACAGGATTCAAGAACTTTGGACAGGAATGGGAGAATAGGAATTGGTCGATAGTGAGAGGGTAGTGTAGGATTAGGAATTTTAGAGAGAGGTCGAACATAAGCTTGTTTCCACAAAGTTGGGTATAGACCTGAGTCCTAGGAGTAATTTACGATATGTGTTATTGCTGGGAGAAGGAACTCGAGTAACATATTCACCATAGTCTTGCTTATGTCATCACAACCCAAAGCCTTGGAGTTAATAGCTGATAACGCCTTAGCAACATCATCTTGGGTCACAGGAGAGAATTCAAAAAAGGGAATGGAAAGTGGTTCCATTGAAGCGATAGAATGTATCGTTTGGGATTTAATACTAGGATCAATAGGAACAATGACAGAAAAATGACGATTGATGTCATCTAAATTAAGCGAAGGACCTAACTCTGCTAACGGAGGCTTAGTAATACCTAGGGATCCAAGGAATTTCCACATACCTGCGGTCGAAGTATTAAGGATATTATCGTGAATTATTATTGGCGTTTAGCGTTTCGCACCATCTGATTACATCTGTTTCTGCAAGCCTTAAAACTAGTCCAATTTTCCACAGTGCGTTACTTCTTAAACTTCTGAAAAGCTCGGTTCCGTCTCGCTATTGCCAGCCTTACGCATCTTTTCATCCAGGGTGCAGGAGGAAGTTTTACTTTTATTTGGTGTACAGGAGCATGAACATTATATAAATTGAGAACAATACTATTAAGGATTGAGATTTTATCATCTATTGTACATGCTAAACCAAGAGGTTCTAAATCAACACGGGAAGCGGCGCCTTAAGTTGATCAATGTTCAATTTGGAAAAGTTGCGTAAATGCAAAATACAGGGTTTGTGTTTTGGAGGTTTCAATCTATAAGAAAAGTAAATTAAGTCATGACGTGAAAAACTCGGAGCAGAAAGTTGTCCATGCTTAACCACGCGTTCGGGAGAAGAGGTAATAATAAGGTCAATCCATGAATCATCACTGTCGATGTTGTGGTGGGTTTCCTTTAACGGAAGAATGCAGAGATTGACTGATTCCAAGATTGACCGAAGTTTTTGGACGCGAGAGTTATTTAATAACAAATTGGTGTTGAAGTCACCCATTATCATGTGGTGTGTATATTCGGACCCAAACTTGTCAAGGGCAGTTTCGAGATCAAGGAAATAATCTACAGCCGGCGGACAGTACACTGCCCCTAGTATTGCCTTAATGCCTCTGATGTCAATTTCAAGAAATAAGAACTCTGCAGAGGCAGAATAGGGGATAGAGAAGATAGAACAATCTTATAAGGTATTGATGCCCGCAAATATATTGCAACACCTCCACCACCCTTTCCAATCCTGTCGTTACGAATAAGCACGAAGTCTCTGAGTGGATACAGGCTAGACAATAAGGATGGCTTTAGCCAGCTTTCCGATACTAATATAGCATGGATTAAATCAAGTGAGAGTGATTGTTCAAATTCAGAAAAATGACCCGGAATGCTCTGGGCGTTTATGTGGCAGACGTTAAGGAATTTACCACAAGGCAAAAAATATTATTTAAATCATCACGAAGAGATGGGAAATTATCATCAGACATATCACAACAAGAGGTAAACGAAGTTTCTGATTCTTGAGCAGAATAAAATGATTCATCACCTAACAGTGGTAGAGCCACGCGGCAGCTTTTGCTGTCGCACGGATGGGCCGACTCGAACCGGGGTAGTACCACGACCTCACAGAAAACCAGCGTGAAGTAGAGGTTTACCTCTGCGTTTCGCTTGGTGAGTGCAGGTGGCCGGAGGCCCTTTTTACTGAAAATGAGGCATTCCATCTTGGTCCTCACGGGTGACAACGCATCTACATTTTGATTTGTAACAGAGGATAGATGTAGATGTCTATGGGCCGCAGCAACCACTTACCATCAGGTGGACTGTGTGCTCGTTTGTCACCCTTATCCTATAAAAAAAAAAACAAAAAAAAGCATTACAAAATTATTAAATAAAGTATATGTAATAAATTACCCAAATAATATAATTAAATACAACTTAAAATAAAAATATATGAAACAAATTGTAAAGCCTAATAAGATACTAATAATTTATTTGCAAATATTATTATTATTTCACCTTACATTATCCCATCAGCCACGAGTTGACGGTTTACAATAGAGTAAAGAAAAACAGAAAAAAAGGAAAAGAAATATACTTAACAGGTTAAAACGAATGAAAAAGGCAAAATTACTAGCTAAACACAATTCCAATGAATTGGCACAATCCAAAAATATGTGACTTATGACATTATAACTAACATAACAATGCAGCATTTATACCTACTGACAATACCGTTGTATACATCTAGGGCTTATAAAACTAAACTTAAGAAACACGACAAAAAGATATATTTAAAATTAAGTTTAAAACAATAATATTAAAAGAAGGATATATTGGTTCAAATACATTATTATTAATCTGACCTAAATTTAACAAATGAACTACCCTAATACTGGCAAAAGTACTAGTGGTACGAACATAGTCTTCTGTGGGTACGAACTACTAAAATTAATAAAATAATTAAATAAATAAACAACTTAAAAAATATGCCTTTTCTTAAATCTTAACTTAAATCTCACACATAATTTTTAGTATTGTTTTAAATAAAGTAATTGCGTTAATGTTAAAGTGTTGTACTCACCTATAATTTAAGTACATATATATAATGTTATACAAAATGTAGCCGAAATGTTTTCATATGTACTTAGTTGGTAAGTCTAAATAAATAAATAAATAAATTATAAAGTATAAACTAACTAACCAATATAGGCTGTATGTTCTGAGGTCTTTTTCTGCTTATGGCGTTTTGTAACAACGACAATCAACCATCAAAGCAATAGCTAGCAAGCTGTAGTACTACATATTTTATCAATGACCAATGATCAATGCCTATGATACCTAAATGTATTGAGATTGATTAGGTACCTATCCAAATATCTAATTGACGTTAATAATCGAATAAGCTAGTGCTCTAAACCTGAACTACATGTATATAAAGAAATAGACAAAATAAAAGAATGTCCATGTTAAATTAAAACGTAGAGAATATATTATTAACAAATCAACAATGCTTGTTTATCCGTGCTAT